GGTCTGTTATTGCACATGCGCAGACTGAGAAACCCAAAAGACATCAGAGTCAGAGTTTACATGCACTAAGAAATCTGATTACTGAGCTAAAATCCAGCTCTCTATCAGATTTCTTAATCGGATTTCTAGACCTTACTCTGATCTAAGAAATCGGAAGTGTGCTGTTTACATGACCATTTGAATAATCAGATAACTGCAGGAATCCAGTTATGATTGGATTATTGAGTGCATGAGAACAATCTTGAATGAGTGGAGTATGTTCGACACTGTTGCCGTCTGATATCATAAGCATCTCTAAGCCATTTCTTGTTTGGCATTATATAGTAATGGGAGAAGCGTCCATTTGGAATTTGGCAGCATACAGTAATGGGAGATGTTTCCCGTCAGTTCAACATCCCAGTCAGCCGTGGTATGGATCTGGGAATGGAGCCAGTTTGTGGAGCTGCTGGATGTTATCGATGCCAGTAGCTCCTCAACATCAGTATGGAGATGTGACCTTTTTTCAGACCCTCCCTCAAAGCCTCTCTCCAACTATGCTCTTGGGCTCTGGACAAACACAAAGCCAAACAGTATACAGAAACTTTAATCGCATGCCTGATTTGATGGCCACATTGTGACTGCAGATTAGGGTGTTGTTGATTGACACCCAACCGCTATCCACCCAGTCTTATTTTACCATATATACCAGCATTCAAAAGTTTGAAATCAGTGTTTTTAATAATATGAAACCAACTTTGTTGCAAATGAATTACTGTCATGGGTTTTAGATTATTTAAAAGAAACCGTAAAAATGTTGAGAAGTGTCCAAAATGGTGACTGGAGCTGTAGATTATCCTAAAAAATGAGAACAGCATTAAAATGTATATCAGAATGAATAAACTGAATGCCTAATATGTAAAGTAGTGATTAAATCTTGAGGTAGAGGTCTCCCGCAAGATTTCATCTCACTCCAGCAGAAAATATGAATTATTTGTCCCACACCCGCCCGCAACCGAAATGTTTTGTCCTGCTCCCACCCGCACAGTTCTGTCAAGGCAAACTGACATCTAATATCTGACACGGTCTATTCACAAATACATTATCCTCTGTTGAAATAAAACAGCAGTCATGGTCATCAGGTTCACTGTGAGTAACTTGACCAAACACCATTTATTCCCAGTAAACACAAAGCAGGAATTAAACCACAGAGCGGTAATTTCTGGTGTTGTGCTGGGCAGCTATGGCCGTCGGACGTAAAGCTCCACCGTCTCTGTCAACTATGAGTATGTGCGTGTTGTTCACGTGATCAGCTGCTTCACAACTCTTTAGAATGACTTCTGTCAATATAACTGTTTTACTGTCATCATTTTATATTATTTATTTATATGATTTAGTGATCGTTCTAGTTTATTTAGGCTATTCATTAGTTTGCGGGATTCCTCTTCATGCGTGCTTTGGCTCTCTCCTGCCTGCAGTCTGAAAATTTGGGTTATGCTGCTAGACTGTGTTGACCTCTCTCTTGAGGCAGAAAACTTATAAAGGAATTAACGTAAATAGATGATTACAGTACATTATCATTTAAAAAATTAGAAATCTATTTTCAATTGACTAGTTTGCTCTATTTTTCTGTCTAGGCTGTATAAATGATTATAGAATAAAATAACAGGAATTTGAGAGCGACTAGTGATTCCAGACTTTTAAATGATGTTATGTTTTTATTTATGTTATGTTTTTATTTTTTTCCCCCCATCTCTGTCTCGCATTTATTAGCTTCCCCTTAACATAGGTTTGCTCTGGGAATGGAAGGGTTTTGCAATTTGCTAATGTAATTTCTCTCAACAAAGAAATTTAGCAGGGCAAACAACCTAACTTGACACTTAACGTTTTAACCCACCATCAGTGTAGACCACATTTAGAAGACACGGTAGCAACAACCTTACAGCAAATTAAGTTCTGACATCATTTCATAGTGACTAGACCGCTGATGAGACTACTGTTAACGTGCAGCAGTTGTGGTTGCAACATTTGCTACCTACTCATTTAATTTAAAATACTGTATGATTGTACATTTAGGCTTTTTTGGCTTGTAATTTAAGGCCTGAAAGAAATGTTAGAATGTACACCCTTAAAAAAGATGGTTCTTTAAGGGTTCTTTAGAAAAGACAGTGGTTCTATAACACTCAAAGAACTATTTGCATGCTTAAAGGGTTCTTTGCATGGTGAAATTGTTTTTCAGATTGATAGAGAATGTGTTGTAGATGGTTCTGTATAGAACCTTTTTGACAATGGCTCCATTTAGCATCAAAAAGGGGTTCTTCTATTGTTTCAAGCTTGACATCGTAACAATAGAAGAACCATTTTTGGTGCCATGTAGAACCATCTAAAACACATTCTCCATCAGTCTAAAGAACCATTTCACCATGCAGAGAACCCTGTAAGCAGGCACATGGTTATAAGTAGAACCCATGGTTCTAAATAGAACCATTCCTCTTACTAAAGAACCTTTATGTAGCTTATTCCTTCAAGTCTGTTGCTTTGGTTAAGCATTAATAAAAGAATTCCATATCGCCTTTTGTCTCTTTGCGAATCCACTCCCAGAAAATGGGAACCTGAATCGACCTCATCAGCGATGATGTTATTAACGTGAAGCAGAACAGGTTTAGCCAGCCGTGTTCCCCCAACATCAGCACTGTTTGAGTGGCTAATGTAAGAGCCGATGGCCACGTTGTTTATGCATCTTCCGAAGACTGAAAGAGATAAAAGTGGTCTCCGGCAGCCCACCCGGTGCATCCGTCTTGGGAGGAACTCGTTAGTTACCATGTTTTATTCAAATGACTTTGACAGCTCAGCCTCTCGTCCTACAGCTGAATGAAGGAAGTGCAGCAGTAAGAGGCTTCAGCACTGCACAAGTACTAGAGTGACCAACCTTGTGTGTTAAACATGTACACAGTGATGTCCCCACATCGAGATACTATACAAATTTGAACGTACTTTGTTGTTTTTTATAACTTTAGAAGTCTTGATGTAAAGCGGTTCCAAAAGAGCTGTTAAAAATTGTCAAAAAACAATGTGACTTGTTTCCCATGTTTAGTGTTTGTGCACCTTCTTTAAGCCTGCTAAAAGACATCTCATGTTGCTCTTCATGAATGCCCAATGTGTGTAAAGTGACCTCAAGGCAAAGGGGGGCTATTTTAAATCTAAGAAGTTTTGTTTTGTTTGTTTTTTTTTTTTATCTGTGCGTTATTCCATACACCACCATTCAAAGGTTTGCAATTGCTTACTATATTCACATTTTTATATACAGTAATAATGTACACATTGTGGATTTAAATATTAAATGTTTGCCAAAAGATATTTTTAGATGAACATTTTAGATGAACATTTGAAATTAAAAATTCCTGGCTAAAAAGTTCAAGATGCACTGAGGCAAAACTGAAATCTGCGTACAATAAATTTACTAAAATTATGACAATATTCAGGCTGTAGTCTGTACCTTACGTACTTGACAACAAAGAACAGTTGATCATATAGTTACATTTTGCATTTACATTACAGTGCTAACCTTTTAGCTGTGAATTTCTTAATCACTTCATTAACTAAGTGTACAGATGGCGTCTGTGCTCTTGGGGATTTTTGTTTTTGCTTCTGTTTCGTATTCTGTCTGTTGAGCAGGATTCTGTATTTTTAAACGGTATTAAACCTGTAATGGAGAAGTTGGCATTAACAGAGATTATGAATCGCTAGTCTAATATTCCTTGTAGAAAGTGTGAAGTAGTTACATACGGCTGATGTTTTCGCTGTTGATTTGCTGCTGCTCAAACTGTTTGAACACGTCTGCATATTTCTCATTTTCATCATTGTTACAATTATTTGTGAAGTCTTTGATATTTTCACATTTCATTGCAGACTTATTTAACCTTTGGGAGGTTTTCTGTTTTTTTCTGTCAAAATTTTCAGCCATTTTTCTCATTTGAATTAAAGCTGAATGCTTTATTTGACCATTTTTGACTACCAATTTTGATGCTTTTTTATTGTCTGTATGCCTTCCTTTTTGAGATTAATCTTACATTTTAAAATGTGAATAATTCTGGATATTAATTTTATTAGAGCTTTATTCTCAGTGTTATACAGCTTTTTCTGTGAATCTCTTTAGAATCTTCAAAAGCGTGAGCTACAGTGCTAACCTTTTAGAATCATTTTATACATTTATCTGCAATCAAATTGGTAATATATTGTTGACAACTTTGGGCCTCATTCACCAATATCTTCCTCATTTTGTTCTTTAGTTTGTTCTTGAGAAAGGTCCTTTTTACGAAGATTCCAACATTCACCAGTGTTTTCTTATCTGGGATTTTGTTCTCAGGTAAGAACAGAATCTACACACACTCAAGAGCACAAAGGTGTAAACAGTTTTGTGCTTTAATAACACGCCATGAATCTGACGTAGACTTTTACTTAGGACCTTTCTCACGAACAAACCTAAGAACAAAATTAGGAAGATATTGGTAAATGAGGCCCAATGATTCTAAACTTTTTCATGTAAATAAATGACGTAGATGTAGACGTGCACTCTTTTGACTGTTGCTGCATATTGATGTCATGGACAGGCAGGTGTTTCTCATCACTTTGCAGTTGAATGCTGGCACTGCGCACATTGCATTCATTTTATAAAGGGTCAGTGTGTTTGTTCTGTTTTCCTGTTTTCCAGGTAGCTCACCACTCCCCTAGTACAGAACACTGCAGCCATATAGTGTTCTCTGAGGGATATTGATATGCTATCTTAAGTGCACCTGTTTCAAATACATGTTGATGCACATCCTCACTCTGTTCCATCAGCCAGAGTAGCAAGCGTACTTACCGTAATGCTTTCCATCATTGTATTCATGATGGATAACTGACCACACTCACAATGCGCAAAGGCAATTTACTGTAACACCACATCTATGCATACTACCTGTACGGTCTGTACTTCTCAACGCACAGATTCAGCTCTGCCCTTAATGTTAATTCTCTTCGTCCAGGAACTGAATGTGCGCCAGCTCACGCTGTCCACCGACAAAGACAAATACGGCATCCGTCTGAGAGCAGAGCCTGACCACATGGTGCTGGGCAAGCGGCTGAAGGGGGCATTCAAGTCCGTCACAGCATCCATCAAGGAGCTGAAGAGTGAGCAGCTGGAGGCCTTCCAGAAGACGGGTTTGTATCACCCTCACTTCAAAACTCTGTGTCCTCAGTGCTGTGAGCACATTGTGTGTGGAAGAAAGCCTTACACTTTATCTTCTGTCTATAATTTGTGATCTACAGACTGCACAGCCCTACACCGTTTAAGAATGTGAAAGCAATGCATGCCTTATAGCACTGCCTGAGAGGGGATAAGAGTGGATGTGGTTGATCTAATAATTAAAGTCAGTTTCTGAGTAGTACCTTTTTTGTCTACTTTCTCTCTCTATATATATGCAGTATGTATATATATATTTATGTTGACAAATATTGATCTTGTGTTTGAGTGAAATGTAACCTCTTCTGTGTCTTGTTACCAAAATAGTAATTTTACAGGAGAAGGAAAAACATTATGAACTATTAATGGAACTTAACCTGTAACAATTTCTTTCTCCAAGTAATTTTGAATGAAATTACTTTGTTGAGAAAGAGTTTTGCTCTGACAGTCTCTATGAGGTTACATTTCACTCAAACACAAGATCAATATTTGCCAACATAAATGTATATACATACTGCATGTATATTGAGAGAGAGTAGACAAAAATGGCACTACTCAGAAATTAATCATAATGTAAAAGGTAGCTAGTGTTCTAGTGTTGTTAAAATTTTGTGTATATATATATATATATATATATATATCAACGCGTTCTGTGGAGTGATGAATCACGCTTCTTTATCTGTCAGTCTGATGGACGAGTTTGGGTTTGGCGAATGCCAGGAGAATGTTACCTGCATTGTGCTGACTAAAGTTTGGTGGAGGAGGGATAATGCTATGCAGTTGTTTTTCAGGGGTTGGCCTAGACCCCTTAGCTCCAGTGAGGGGAGATCTTAATGCTTGAGCAGACCAAGACATTTCGGACAATTGTATGCTTCCAACTTTGTGGGATCAGTTTGGGGAAGGCGCTTTTCTGTTCCAGCATGACTGTGCCTCTCACTCTTGCTCATACAACTCATGGATTCTTATTGCAGTGGGCATTCTGAAGTGGAAAGCGGAGCTGTTGCTTTTGTTAGTTTGCTGCACCGTCTGGCATAGTTTGCCGAAAATGCTGACGGTATCATTTTAAACTGATTTTGAAACTTTATTTGAACGACAAGGCTACAATCACAGTTTCTATCTTAGCAACATACAGTCTCAGCTAGGCTTCAGCCTGCACTACCACGAATGGTCTGAATAGTCAAACTGTGAAAATGAAGTCAGTAAATAAATCCGCACCTTTAATTAATTGCATCAGCTGTTGTTTGTAGAGGTTGGTTAACTATTTACTTATTTATTTATTTAGATTATTTGTTTATTTAGCTATTTAATACAACTTAGCATCAGACTTTGTCTTTGGAAGGATTTGTCAGCTGTAGTTTTACTTTAACAAGGTTAAAGTTTTGACAGAGAAAGGCTTGTGCTGCAGGCTCAGTCCGCTGTAAGAATGGCAGCAGTGAGGCCTTTTGATGTACCTGGATGCCCGAGTAGGAGGTGCTTTCCTGGGCCGCGAGCTCGAGGGCTATCAAGTTCCCCGTCTGAAGTAGGCGGAAGCTTTTAATAGGCCGTGCACAATACCTGCCGCTGCATTTGGAGGGAAAGAGAAGAGCAAAGGCAGGCATGGAAATCTCAGATTAGCGTGAGGATCTGATAGGTGTGCTTTGACGCTCCTGCTTCAGAAAGCATTTTCACGCCTCTTATATAGAACATCGCCGACATAATCGGCTGGAACGTGGGATACGGCTAGGAAACGTGACCCGAATGGGTCAGCCCTGGATGAAAACGCTGGTCTGGGAAACAAAAGCAGAGTTAGATAACTAATATGTGAAGAACTGTGTAGCTTCAAGCGTGATCTAGAAAAGTGCATGAACTGAAGTTGCTTTATCACACAGTTGAAGTTTCTTTGCCTAAATGTTTTTTTTTCAGAGCTGTGTTAACACGAAATTCCTGTATTTTCCAAATTAATTATGATTTTGTATAAAATATACATATTCTTTTCAGTGCAGATATTATATTGATAGATTATGAACTACACCCCATGCCCAGAATTATGTGGACAGCCGAGAATCGCATCTATATGTGCTTGTTGAACCTCCCGTTCCAAAAATATGGGCGTTAATATGGAGCTGGCCCTGTATGGATTATTCCAGTCAAGGCTTGTCATTGTGCATGATGATTTTAGGCCTTCGTACGGCTGCTTGGCCAAGGAAACCCACTGAGCTGTTCTTGCTACTGAGCACTTCCATTTCACGATAACAGCATGTACAGTTGGATAGGGCAGAAATTTGACTGTTGGAAAAGCGATTTCTGACTGCCGTGTTGAAAGTCACTCCGTACGACTGCTTCTGCTGTCCCTGTTTGTGGAGGCTGCTGTATGCATTGATGCAGCTGTTGGCTGAAAAAGCCAAACTTACTGATAATTGTTTTACAGGCTCTATTGTGGTGGACGGCCACGAGCTGCATGAGGAGGACCTGCGTTTGATGTACTCCTTTGACCAGATGTCCGGCACAGCTGCACAGTATGAAGCTCACTCAGATGCTCAGGTAATGTACGTTCTGCCTGAAGTAGGTGAATCTTTTTCAGCGTGACAGGCAGAAACTTTTTTGACGCTCGATGAGGCGTCTTTTCATTGGATACAGACACGTTTCTAGTCCGACAGAGCTGGTGCAGCGTCCTCACTGAAATACACTGGGGGACTGTGTTTCTGATGCTGCTTCTAGTCAGCTTCTAGTGTGTAGGCACCCTGAGTATCATATAGGCTTTTTCACCATGCAAGTTATTTTTTCCTGCAATTTTGCATAGAGAGTTTATTCACACTACAGGTTAAACGTACCAAAGAAAGCAGTGAGGTTTCTTTTCAAATAGAATTTACTTATAAGTCAAATCGCCCACAGCAATTAAACAATTAAACAATTAAATATGTACTGATATCTATTTTAACCAAAGAGCTTTTTTTCCCAAAATGTTCCACACTGATGTTCTCATAGTCCAGCACATTATTTGGGAAGAGTGTTGTTTATATTATGTCCATTATCTCTTATTTTTAATTTACATTGTACTAAGTTAGTATCTCTTCCAAATGGTTGGCGTGTGTGTATGTAAATGGATGAAATGCAGATAGACAAATTGAGTGCAAGCTAATCAGTGTTAGGTTTGATTTTTCAGGTCCTCATGCTCTTGGACATCACTCCTGACCAGTCCATGGTGGATGAAGGTGTAGCCAGAGAAGTGATCAACCGCATTCAGAAACTGCGCAAGAAGGTAAAAGGCTAATCTCATTCCTTACTAAATCCATGATTGTAAGGGTCGGGAGCAGCGGGTCTCAAACTGAGTGTTTTGCCCCTCTGAGAAGAATCTCAGAAGTTGTATCTCTACTGAGTAAGTTTTTATTTTACCAGTATAAGCTTTGGCCACGTCTAAAAAACTGTTACTTAAAGCATGTTACCCTCTTAAACCTTTATGCTCTAAATTTTGACCACTCATTTTTTTTTCAGTTCTGTTTTCAAAATATTACTTGACTTGTTCAGGACTATCTTATTATAGAAGAGGATGTTGTGTCCTGGATTCTTTAATGGATAAACTGTTACAGTTACCAGCAGTGATCTCTTCATCTAAATACCACAATATCCTAATATCTGATCACTGCCCAGTTATGATATTAGTTAATTTTCAGGTAGAAAAATTTAAATAATTTGCTACATCAGGAAAACCTTCAAGAACTGTGTTCTGATAGCTGAATACCTCTCTTTAAAAGACACAGGAGGCTCTCAAAGTGGTCATTTGAAGCCATAAAATAGCCTAAGAGGTGGATTTAAACAGTAATACTTGTTTTAAGGGGTAGGTATTATTAAATGGTATTAAAATTAAATATAAGCCAATCAGTCACAATTCACAGCCATACTGCGCCCACTTAATTAATCTGTGAAGTCACAGAACAGGGCCATGATAAGGAAAGTAATGGCACTCAGTATCTGCAAAGGGAGACCTATAAAAGTTTGAGAGCTGCTGGTCTTGAGCAGAATAGTTTGACGAGAAGTCAGATTTAGACGGTTTTCTCCCCTCAGCCCAAATGTAGTCAGTCAGCCAAGATATGCTTGCTGTCTGCTTGCTTCTTCAAGTTGTGTCCCAATTCAGGGACTGCATCTTTCAAAGGACACAGTCTACGAAGGCGTGTCCTTCGAAGGCTGTGTAGACCCTTGAAGGCTGAACTAAAATGAGACGATCTGCTCTACAGCGGATTTCCTGTTTGTGTCACAGCACCGCTGTTCCTGCCCTTACGGTTGCATCACAAAATGCCGCTCCTGTCAAGTTCTTTTAAAGTTCTTTAAAGATGGAGCCAGAAAGTTTGAGTTTTTTGTTAATTTATCAGAGCTGAAGATGCTTCTCTCTGTCTGCTCCTTGGTCCCTAAAAAAAAACAAAACGTTAGCGTAAGTTTTGCTTCAGGTCACATTGGCTTTTTTAACATCTGTGTCGTTAGCTATTCGCTATACTGTTTAAACCCAGTACTTAGAATTAAAATTGAACTCCTCAGCCGCCGTTCGCTCCTCTGCTGACACTGCCATGTTCTCAAATCCTCACCGGCACGCAATGAACCCTGGGATATGTCGGCTGACCACCAGTTGGATCCTTTGTTGCCGTGGGAAAAGGACACGTTTCTCGGTCGCAAATAAAGGAGCCTTCGAAATGGGACAGCCTAGTTGCACTGCTGTGGCGCAATCGGCCTTGAAATGCAGCCTCTAAAGGATGCAGCCCCTGAATTGGGACACAGTTTTTGTTTTAGCACTGGATCTTATAAGTAATGGAAACTCTACCAGTTAGCATTATGGTAACTGCATACCTAAATACACACAAATGTATCTTTTATAGCTATTAACAGTAGCCTCCATCTTGAATCCTGAACTTTGTCTGTACTTCAGTCAGGTTTTTTTTGGGCGTGGGGGCACTGTGGTTTTTGAATGCTGCCTCGCTGCCTCTAGCTTCACGTTACCCTGTTGCTAAGCAACAGCAGTGTAACTGTCAGTCAGTTCTGCAAGCTGTCTTTTACACATGCCCAAACAGAAAGTTGTTATTTGTTTAGCAAATGGGACTTGACAGTTGTTTTTAAATTGAAATCGCAATTTGAAGAAGTGCAGTTTTCAAATCGCAGGAACTGCAAAGCTTTAAGTGGGGAAATTTGACCTATTAAGGCACAATTTGCTGCATGTAGATGAGTTGGACCATCAGATGTGAGCAAACCCAGATAGCAAGCATATATCGGTCCCCTGGCTTGATAAGGTCAGCACCATGCTGACTGTTTGCCAATGCTGGTCCACCCTCGGACCACCCAGATTACTGTCCTGCATACAAGCTTTACCTAGTTTTTAATCTCCTCAAAGAGATTTTAAATGCACGTAGCCTGTCTAATACTCTTCTTAACCACCAGTGGGCTGCCCAGAAAATGCTGAGCAAAACACTAGTGGACCGCCAGCTTTGCCATCATTGGGCCAACAATCATTGGGCCAACAGTGGCCCACTATCCTCTTGCTATCAGGGAACATCGACATGCTGTGTACATGACAACACAATTGTTCCTAAGTGACAGTAACACTACCAGAAAAGGTTGATTTGTTGTTTAAAAAAGGCCTGCACCTTAATTTGTTGAAAAGAATCACAATTTCAAATGCAATTGCAGTTTTGGTCAGAAAAATCACAATTAGATATTTTTCCCAAGTTGTTCAGCCACTAGCTGAACCAGCCCCTCTAAACAAGCTAAAATAAAATAAAATTAAAAAAATTGTTTACAACATTAGTGCAGCCATTAATCCTTCCTGCATTACTGCTACCACTGAAGGTCCGACTTACCTTTAATCTGATTGGTTAACAGAGAAAAAACGGCACACTAACGCGTCTCTCCCATTGAAAACAATTTCAAATAAGCAAAAATGTGCAGTTTTTTGTGCCCCTTTAGCCTTGTAGCTCCAAAGCAGAACTACAGAAGCGAACACTGTCTTGGCTGATTGACTGCATTTAGAGTCAGGGGGAGAAAATTGTCTAAATTATGTATTTTCACCAAACTTTTCCTTTAACTTCCGCATCCTTCAAAAGGAGTGCTATTAATTGCTAACATTCAGCCGAGCAAGTGATTCATGGTTCGAATGCCATGGGAGGAAATTTGCCCAAGGTCAGCTTTGTGTTTGCAGGCTGGCTCAGTCTGCTGCTGTAAGTTCTCCTGCTGCCCAGCTCTCATCTCCAGTCTGCTGGCATCCCCACCGCAGGGTCCGCCCAGTGTTTGTTTGCCTTTTTTCTTCTCTCTTGGGGTCCAGCTCATTTGCTTTTCCCAGGCTCGGAGCGCTGCTGTTTCGAGAAAAAAAACAAAAATCTTTCCACTCCAGAATTACAAGTGCATGGAGCAGAGCAAGTTGCACAATCATGAAAGCGTGGACTTAATAAGCTTAATTACCCCCGAGTCCACTCGGAGACGTACGAAGCTTTTTGAAGTGTTATGGAAATCAGGAAAGTAAGACGGATTTCCTTCTCTCCCCTCGTTTTTTTCCCCTTTCTTAATAAACAAACATTTTTCCATTCCAGGCAGTTGCCTGGTGTGGATATGTATATATATATGTGTATGTATATAAATGTACATGCGAAAGGGAAGGGGGTCGCTGGCAGCCGGCCAAGCTCGAATTCCTCTCTTATTGAAAGTCCGAAGAACGGGAGGAATTTTCCATGGGAGGGAATTAGACTTTTTTTTTCTTTTTTTTCATCGTTTCCTTAGATGAGAGGTGGTAACCGGAGGGGGTTGATTGCTGGGGAAGGTTTAAGGAAAAAGAGAAGGCATGTTTACAGTGTTGCGGCCAAAAGCAAGATATTTGAAGACACTACGTTGCCAAGTTTAAAACTATACGGAATCTTTCTGCCCGTGTTTTTTTTTAGGGGTCATTGCCTGGAATTGGCGTTTAGTAAATTAGATCCAGACTCACTTTGATGCAGTGCAGTTTATGTATGTATTTTCTCTCCTTTAGAAACAGTGCTGGTGATAGGTAAACAAGATTCTGAATATTCTTGCCTTGAAGATTCTGCATTTAAGACCAAATATGCATAATTAGTGTTTGTTTCTCTCTCTCTATCTCTCTGTCTCTCTCTCAAGGGTCATCTGGTCCCATCTGATGAGATCACAGTGTACTACAGCTCTGAGCCTGCTGGAGACTACCTGGACAAAGTGATCCAGGCTCACACAGACTTTATTCTGGCCACAACTAAAGCCCCACTCAAGCCGTGTCCCGTGCCCAAGAATGCTAGCGTCATCGTCCAAGAGAAAACTCAGGTGAGCATTTGTGGAGCTGATTTTGGTAATAAATCTGTCGATTTTACAGTGCAGCTCTTAGTATCTGGATAGTGATGTGTTATTGTGGCTGTGTACTACACAGGCCTGACACAATCATTTCATAATCATCCAATCGCAGTTATTTGGGCTGACCGTGTTTATTCAGTTGTTAGCTTCCACAATATCTTTAGAATTTATTTAGTTGCAATTTTATCAGTTGGATTGAAAACATTTAAATAAAAGAAAGCAGAAAACATATTTAGTGAGCATATCGTGAGTCTCACAAAAACAACAGTGCTATAACACTTTTTGAATGTTTGTTTATTTTAATGTTTGTTTATAACACCTTTAGAGGACAGCAGTGAGTGATGTTTGTTTATTTGATGTTTATAAATGACACATTTAGAGGGCAGTGGTAAATAACTTTTGTTTATTAGATGTTTGTTAATGACGTCTTTAGAGGGCAGCAGTGAGCAACATTTGTTTATTTGACTCAAGCTGTATCTGTTGCCAGTTGGGAGTTAGTTTTCAACCCCTAAGAAGCAAGATAGCCGATCAGCAAATTTTAGACTTAATGAAACGATTATTAAAATTGTTAATCATGATTAATAATATGGCAATTAATCATCAGCTAAAATGTCCTGATTGTGACAGCCCTAGTGCTACAGCACTTTCAGGTTAATATGAAACAGTGACTGGGGGAAGGGGTCTAAAAAGGTATAGGTTTTCAGATTGATCATTCAACTGCATTGAATTTGGTCTATTATATACTATAAGTTTAGGATTATAATAAAGTATGCACTTAGGTTAACATTTTGGAGCTATTTTCTAATGTTAAAACTTTTTAAAAAAGCAGTGAAGCTTGGCCTTGTTGTCTGTATTCCACTGCTGTGTCACCAGTTCCTCTGGACATATTTGTCTCGTGAGTGTGCATTTAAAAATAATTCTTAATCTTACTGAAGTAATGGAAGTTACACGATGGGGTAATGGAGATTACATGATATATTCATTTGTTTTCTAAAGACATTGAACATTCAGTTCATTTCATAATTAATTTGGTGCTTTTTGCAATGAGCAATGTCGTGAACCTGACTCCAGGCCCCTAGTGAGCAAACAGAGGGCAACAGTGGCAAAGAAAACTCCCTGAGAGCAACAGGAAGAGCACAGTACTGAGAACACAACAACAACACAGGAAAACAATAAGGGTTATGGAACAGTGAATAAGGAGATGACTAATGAATATGCAGTGATGGATCGTGTGGAAAAACAGATGAAGTGAGCTTAATCAAAGGGCAGAACTGTTCAGATTACTAATGCCTATCAGAGGTTATCTCAGAAAATGAATGACTGTTAAATGACATTGTTAAAGTCAAATCCATGATTGCCAAGAAGACATTAAAGTGTGATCAACTAAGGAACTCAGTACAGTGTGATTCAGAGGCACATACAGGGGGCTCCATGGTGGTCTACCAGGCCGGACAGCAGTTGGGCAGCTGAAGCTGATCAAGGTCGATATAGCGGCAGCATCAAACTGGACAGGAGGAGCAGTTAGAGGTTCTGGAAGCAGTTTGTATGTCTCAGAAAATGAGAGAGAACAAAGAAAAGGAGGAGAACATCACCAACTCATCTACAATTCTATATAGACCCATAAACAACACCATCTAAATCAAGCTGAAGAACCATTTTACGATGCAAAGAACACTAATCATTCAAAGGGTTTTGAGTGTTCATGGTTCTAGATGGAACCCTTGAAGAACCAGAGTTTGTATGACAAACTGTGTAACTTGTTTAATAACTATAGAACTCAATCAAGTGTATATGATGTAATAGATGATTATCATCAATTTAATGCCTGTTATTTAATCTGTTTGACTTCAGCTGAAGGGTTCTGACCTGGACTTGACCATCGTTAAGGGAGCGGCGGTCTCCAGAGCGCCGCTCACCGGACCTGCCTGCGCTTACGTCAACGTCAAAGTCAGTCTCAACAATAAACAGCAAGGTCAGTAGATGAATGTGTTTGAGATACTCTCTTTGAGTCGGGAACTAACAACTTGTTATATTTTTTAGAAGATAAAAAGCAGCAAACATGTCAAACCAAAAATTGCTCATATACCTAAACAAATGAATTACATTTTTAAGTATTTAGTGTGTCTACATACTTAAAATGTAATAGCAGGGTTCATATAGATGATGATTAATAGAAAAATTTAAAAGCCTTGTATTATCATGCATTAAACGACAGCATGGACGATATGATATGTTATTGTTTGGGTAATAATTTATGTAAAATGTTTTTTTCTGAACATGGGTCAGAGAAATAGGCACATAAAAGTACCAAGCACAGAGCAAAGAGCTTTAAACAACAACCAGTATATAGTAGCTATATAACTGTATTTTATCAGCTGCTTGTTCTTTTCCCTTAATATAAATGTCATTTTTATAGCTTTATTTTTGAATTTGCCGCTACTGTTTTGCTGAAGCATATCTTAAAACAGCTGCATATTATGAAACAGTACTGTGCAAAAGTGAGACTTAATTCCAGTCAAAATAACATTTGGAAATATATATTTAACAGAGAAACAGAAGCTTTGTGATGGCTCTCTCAACAATGACTTCTTTGAATATTATTATTATATAGTTTTTTTTGTCTGTTGCTAAGTTTTTATCTGGCTGCTGTCATCATGAAGATCATATAAAGAATAGAAATAAAAACAAAATATCAACCATGACATCTTAACATAATCATCCCTGTCTGATATCCACACTCCAACTGTCCTCTCTGTTTACAGTTTTTCTGGCTGGATTCTCACCGTAGTGTTTGCTTTTGTTTTCCAGAGGGCACAGTTCTTCTGGAGAATCCAAAGGGAGACAATAAACTGGATGTGGAGAAGCTTAAAATGGTTTGCCGTAGTATTTTCAAACTCAACGACACCCCGCTGGCTGTGTTCAGTGGGACAGCAGGTAAGACTGGGGTTTCTTTCTTTCTTTTATGATGCGAGGTTCAACTTTACAGTTCATTACAATCACAGTACTGTTATGTAAAAGGCAGTACATCATTTTTAACAGCATAGTTTCTCTATGACTCTCCATGATGCTGGATTTACAGATTTTACAGAATGGGCTGAATCCAGTACGCAGTAAATGTGCTGAATGTTTTTGCATCTGGATTTTATTGACTGTACAGATTAGATATACGGTTTATCAGATTTTTTGGGTGACTAAAATATTGGGGATCACACACTAAACAATTAGGGATCTCACACTGCTCAACTTTTAAGCTGCTGCTGAACCGAACGGAACTCACTGAACTCGCGTGAACTCTCGCATTCTCCCATTACTAGATGACCCAAATAATCAAACGTGGAGCTGCTGCTGCTCTTTTCTTCGCTGTTTGCGCTGTTACAGTAAAGAAGCAGCAGGTAAACATGTATAAGGGCTCATGGGTTTAAAAATGTGATAGGTGTGAGATTTAAACCTAAGTAAACTCAATTGTGTTCATGCCTTAAACTGAGCTCATTCAAAAGCTTCGCTCCACACATGAGTGACTTTTCGCCATTTTTCTTTGTTTACTTGCTGTATTTTCTTCTTTCGCCGCTGTTTTCATTGGCTGTTGCAGGAGTCCGTTCAGATTCAGTCGTTTACCAGCTTACATTAGATTTCTCTCAGGGTCAGGTCTATGGACTCTGACTGACCCAAAAATCTGCAGATTAGAGCCGACCAGCTCAGACTCAGCCAGACTGAGGATTGGGGCTAAAATCGGGATAAAAGTTGTGTAGTGTAACTCCGACTTTAGGAGACTGAGGAGTCTGACAGGATTTGTGCTGATCTAAATAACAGTCTTGATTAAAACGTGAATGTTTCATACGCTGATCAACATAAAAAAATACTTCATGTAGTAACAAGCAAGTAATCTAGTTTTATTCAACTCAAGAAATTACATTGAATCGTTTATTCAAAGTGTTTCTTTGCGTTGAATAAAACTAGTTAATTTACTAAATAAACACATAACACAAGGTTTCTTTGTGCAATTTATTTAGACAGCAATAAATTGATCCAGGCACGTGTGTAGCTGACAGTATCTTGCACACCAAACTTAATTTTTTGGATGGCAAAAATGCAACATAGTTTTATTCACCCTCTGTTCAGTGTTTCCAAACATTCACTGGTGACATGAACTTACTGACCAGTCACGGTTGTCTCTGCTTGTTGGCGTGACGACAGTCAAGATGACAGGTTGTCTGTGTTTCAGCAAATAGAGCAGATTTTCACAAACACAAGGATCAGAATCTCCAAATGCAGCTCAAACTGGGCTAGAAACATTGGGTTTAATGTGGAAGAACTCAACGTTTCAGCCTCTGAATAAAGTGATGAAGCTCTCCATGCAACTTTCACTTTTCCAAAATGGACAGTTTGATTGATTTTTAGACCCTCAGTATCAAGAAGGAGATTAAATTTTGACCAACAGGCTGCGGTTATGTGCAACAATTGTCCCTCTTTAGTATTTTGGTGCCTTCGAAGTTTCCAGTCTGCCCCAGAGCTGCAGATGGCTCTCTCTTCATCCAAGTGACCGTTCAGATCGCACAAGTTCACATCGATCGCTCTGCCACTGAGGCTTGAGCTGGCTTCGCTGCCAGAAGCTCCGCGTTCTCTTGTGCTCTCCACAGAGAAGAGCTCGCTCGTTCCTCTCTGTCGCCTCCTTTTAGGCTTAATATCTGTTTTACACTCTGCTTGCTGATTCGGCCTCTTGTGGAGAGCCGGTTCCTGCTGACGGAGTTCTGCTCCAGTGAAGGGAGCCTGCTGCAGTGTGTATGGAGATAAGGGAACGCTGGATATCAGGACACATTGATGCTCCAGTCTGTCACTGCGCCACCTTCCAGAATCTCTCTATTGGTGTTACAGAGCTTCAGTGGTCAGTACTGTAGCCTCTCTGTTGTACTTTATATACAGAATCTTTCAATCAATGTAATTATGAGTTGAATAAAACTAGTTTAATTACTTGTTTCTACATGAAGTAATTTTTTTAGGTTGATATGATGAGCTATTTTTTTTACAGTGTAGCCCTATAAACCTGCACAACTGACCTATAAATGACTGCCTGCATTTAGAAGTCAAGCAGTTATTGCTGACAGCAACAAAACTATGTTGTCACTGTCCAGTCATTTAAACACAGCAGCCATGATTCACAATAATCCGATCATTTCTGCAGTTATCTGATATACTCCGATCTAGAAATCTGATTAAGAGAGCTGGATTTTAGCTCAGTAATCAGATTTCTCAGTGCATGTGAACTCTTACTCTGATTTCTTTCGGATTTCTCAGTCTGCATGTGTGAGAACAGATGGTATTACCAGCAGTGTTGCAGTGAGATGGCAACAAAACACTTTGGGAGCAGCGCTGAAACCAAAGATGAAATAAAGGATTTAAATATTCGTCATCTTCTAAATGATGTATGTTCATATTTTCGAGTCGCATGATGTTTAAAAAAAAAAAGCCGTGGCATGAAGTTTGAGTTTTACGCTACGTTTACATCGCGTCTTCTTCTGTGAGTTCATTGGCTGGTTGTAAAGCAGAAATCCGATTACTGCCTGACTCATGTAAACCTGGAGTTTCACATTATCTGATTACTCAAGTGCATGTAAATACGTTAATCCAGTTACTGACAAAATCTGATTTTCTGCAGTTATTGGATTATTAAGTGCATGTAGACACGCTCAGTGTAGTGATACACCAGTGCGATGAATTGGATTGGTGTTTGTTTAAGGAGAAGCAACAAGTGTTTCTTTTCAAACTGGAAATGCGAGGTGTCTCTCTACAAAGCAGTCCAGTGTCAAATCTTTCAGACTTGTACATTTTTAAGAGTTTAAAGTAGGCCAGATATGTGGGTAGATTTGAGATAATAAGGTGTTAGTTTGTCTTCACAGGCAAAAAATGAATTTGAACTACTTGTTTGAATTTGAATACTCCACTTAATTTTAGGTAATAAGTCCTTTATTACCTTATATATTATGCATTTATTAAAATAGAAATGTCATGTTTTGGAACAAGCTTTTCTTACATATTATATGTGATACAGATTTTAAATTAGAAGAAAAAATATCAGATTGGCACTCAGTATTGGTCAGTATCTTGAGTTCAGGTATCGGAATCGGTTTTGTGAGAAAAAGTGAGATCAGTGCCTTTCAGTGTAGTTCATGTGTAATTATTATGTGATTAATTTTGTAATTACATTTGAATAGTATAGCAAAAAGACAGTGATAGTTACAGACTTATAAAAGTTAAAGCATAGCGTGTAGTGAAACTTTAAAGGTCAGTGCAATATTTTGGAGCTGTATTGTAGAGTGATGGACTTCTTTGGTTTACATCATCTTGCTCATTACCTGAACAACATGTAAGAAGAACATCTGGTTCCCATAATTGCCCAAGTGATAACAAACCAAACAATACACAAGTTCAAAACATGTTGTGTTTGCTGTTTTTGCTGATGAGGAAGGCACTGAAGATTATTATTAATCATAGTGCAGCTTTTTTGACTGGCTTTCATGTTGGAGCGATGCTTTGTTGTCCTGTCCTGATGTTGTTTTGCCCACAAAATGAAGGAAAAAATTGATTGAAATAAAGGATCCGGTAAGGACTCCTTCTGCCAGCACAACAGATGTGAAACGATGACGATGGAAACACAGAGGAGCCATTAATGAGAAGCTTAGCAAGATTAGGAGCGCTGGTGAGAGGGACTGTGCTGATGAGCTTGATGAATGCCCATTAACTCTGTCATTAATTATGAGCAAAAGACGAGGCACAATGCAGCACTGCATTGCAGCCCCCTCCCCTCACCGGCCTCAGCGCTGATGCTGAATATCGTCTGATTTACGGTCCTGCGTGTGTAAACGTGGACTAAAGAAGGCATTTTTCCACCTAACCTGCAGTTTTCAGGCTTGTCTGTTGTCCGTGCTACCTGGTTAAGGACATGACATACTTGCACACCAGTAGGGCATTAGAGCTGTGCCGATACTACGATTAATCGTTGAATCACGATTCTGTTTTTCACAATTTTGTATTGATATTTTGAATGCTTTGTTCATTTGTTTATTTATGTAGCCATACCTATTGCTGTAGCTCAGTGTGTTTAGGTGACAGTAGCTACAAAGTCTTGTAAGACATCTACAGCTTATATAATTTGCCTTTTGCTGTACATTCACCATAGTAGACCAGCTTCTGCGGCATTCCAGTCAGATGTGAAAGCACTTTGGCTTTATTAGGAACCGGAGACTCATGAATTAGATATGAGTAACATGGTTTGTAATTTGCTCCACACCATAATATAATATTCTGAAAAGATAAACAGTCTAAGTGCTTATCTTCGTTATCGAGTTACTGAGTTAGTGCTGTTGGAAAAACTCATATCATCAAAATGGTACATTTTCAGGAGAAGGAAAAAACTTTCTTAACTTGTAATGGAAGTTAATGTAAAAAATGATTTTTCTTTCAAGTAATTAAATAAAACAATAGCAATAAATCAATTTTTGTTCCAGGTTTGATGGTTTGCTGGTTGCTCTGTTCTTGATCTAGTAGACGATGTCCCTGGAACAGCAAGAAATATGTTATATAGTCTTTTTGAACCCTGTGACTCAATTTACAATAAACTACTGTGCAAAAGAATTGAGAGTCAAATGACGCTGCTACAATACATCCCATTAAAAAGCAACTGTGCTGTAAATTAACCTAATCACAACGATTGTTGCTTTACAGAGTTGAAGGCCAACAGTGACCTCCTGGCTCTGAGTGGAAAGACCCTGTCAGTAACTTCAGGTGCCAGTCCTAAAGCAACGAACTGGTTCAGACTCTGTTATCTGTCCGTACATCAACCTGCAACTCGTCAATGCCAGCCCTGCAGGTACATCTTCCTCTTTTTTTTTCTCGTTTTTTTTTAGTTTTTTAGGCTTTTTGTTAACTGCATTCTCTAGAGCTCCGTCCAATACCTTTGGGATGAGTTGGAGTCATGCAGAACTGATCATCCACCATCAGTACCTGACCTCACTAATGCTCAATCAAATCCTCACAGCAATGTTCCAATATCTAGTGTAAAGCCCTTCCAGAAGAGTAGAGGCTGTTACTGCAGCAAAGGAGACAAACTCACTATTAATGCCCTTCATTTCAGAAGAAACACTGGTGTCTCTGAATGTTTGGACATATAGTGTTGTTAGTTATACAGATTTAAAGATGACGATTCTCTCTAACATTAGCTAGTTTGGCAGCTAAATTAAGCCACAGCACCTGTTTAAGGGCACATGGCGCCGCCTAACTGTCTTATTGATTTAAAGAGTGGGTTCAGTACCTTTTGTCTGTCATGTAAAACAAGAGGAAACTTCTTGACAGATAGCAAACATTAAGAAAGGATATAAAATCAAGTACAACACTTTGCCAAATGTGAGTAGTAATAGTTTAATTATTAATACTGGGCTGAAGGATGAATAGTTTTTATATCAAAATCGCAATTTAAAAGAGTGCTGTTTTCAAATTGTAGGAGCTGCTATTTTAATTATAGCCATTTTTTTATTAACAATGTTGTCTTAATCTTAATCTTGTCGGCAACCCAAATGTTAAGAAGAGCCATTTTGTCCTTTCAACAAAAATCAAACCACCTTGGTAGCCACAACATTTTATGTCCATTTTACCATCTTGGCTCAGTAGTCCTAATACTAGTATAGGATAAAAAATATAAATGAAAACACAGCCTTACTTTGCTCTGCTTTAAGCTTCAGCTCAGCTATAGCTGCTTTTCTCGCATCTCCAGCTAGACGCTTTTCCGTAAAAGTGGAATAGTTTCTTATAAAATGTCTCTCAACGTTTGATTTTTTACTAAGGCTGAAATCAGCTTCTTGTTTATATTTTCCCATTCCACCTTAAATCTTAGGCAGAGGAGCCAGAATGTAACATCTGCACCATTTAAGGTGGAACAGGAAAATTTGAACGAGAAGCTGACTTCAGCTTTGTGGCTTTTTTAGTGTTTGACGTTTCCTGTTGCAAGATGTTCTGGTGTTCTTGGCCAAAATAACAGATCTGGACTTCAATTTACAGAAAATAATCACTATTTTTTTAGTGGTTGGTATAGTGTAGTGGGTAACACCTCTGCCTTCTACGCTGTAGACTGGGGTTCAATTCCCTGCCTGGGCAAACACCCTACACTATACCAACAAGAGTCCTTGGGCAAGACTCCTAACACTACATTCGCCTGCCTGTGTAAAAATGATCAAATTGTAAGTCGCTCTGGGTAAGAGTGTCTGCCAAGTGCCGTAAATGTAAATGTGAAAATTGCCATTACAATTTTTTCCCATATCATTCAGCCCTGTTTAACAGTGAGATTTCCCTTCTCCTGCAGAATGCCTGAGTGGGGATGTGGGCACGCTGCTGCTTGCTAATCCCGTGGGCCAGAATGGACTGCAGCACGCTGGGCTGCTCAGTGAGACTGCTAAAGTGTTCGGCCTCAGGGGCAGAAGACTGAAACTCTACAAGGATGAAGATCTTGCAGAAGGTAGGTTCAGTTTTCTGTACAAACCACATCTGTAAATGTGAGACTCTCAAATTCTTTCAGTGCGTTCAGTGCTGACAGCTTCCACTGATACAACAACCCAAATACAAAGTGTCACGCCACTCGAGAGCCCCCTTTCTTTTGTGTTCAGAAACAATTCGTCTGTCCATGCTCCGCCCACAAATGAGTTCTGCTTTGTCGAAATATAAAAATATAAAGTTATTCATTTTACATTTTTATTTTGTATGCTGGTGAAAGGTCAGACTGTTAGGATAGAGCAGACTGTGTAGCTTTTTATAGTCGTGTTGTTAAGGCTTTTCAGGTTAAGCATATGAATGACAGACTAAGCAGAAAGTTTGCCAGCTCCAGCTGTTTGAATAATGCTCGCAACATAGTCGCCTTCACCGCTGTCAAAAGGGCCAAGGGTTCCTAACCTCAGCCCTGGCCACCTTTGCTCTGCACATTTCTGTGTTTTCCCTACTCTACACACCTGATCCCACCAATGCGGTGCTTGTTAATTAGTTAATGGGTTGAATCAGGTGTGCTCAATGAGGCAGAGCACAGAAGTGTGTAGTTTGGGGTTGCCAGAAGTGAGATCAGGAGCCCCGGCTGTAGACATTAACCCTGTCACCCTTATGGAAGGAAGTCAGTTACAGAAACAGAGTGACATTTCTTACAAAATAAATACTATTTGATATTATTAATACATTGTAACTTGAAGTATTTTGACAAAAACTGCAGGGTGTTACGGTTCTTTGCATGTCGAATAGGATTTTTGTCAGCGTTCAGTAAAGATTCTTTGCGACAGTAGCTACAAAGGAACACATTTATGGGTGGAGTGTCAGTTGTACTGTAGCAATTCAAGCCAATTCTGAAAGCATTTGAGTAATTGCATTTTAAGAACTCATTCATCTCATATGACTGCCAAGGTTCACGAGGAGGGCATTGTGCGGTTTCACCAGTGTTTCCTCAGTGCAGTGTTAACATATTCCACAAGAACCTTGACTCCTAATCTTTGGATGGAGGTTAAGCTGAAGCCCTGAACTCAGATCAATGTGGCCTGAGCAGTAACTAATCCCTGGAAGTGTGCTCTCCACTTTCACCCTCGCTACTTCTGTTGCACCGCAGGGGCTCTGCTGTAGCGTAATACCTCTCTTCTAATTTAAAGAGAATGTCGCACTGGTGATTATATTTGCTCCTGCTGCCATATCATGGTGGTCTGTATTGAGTTGCCTGTGCAACGTTTGAATGACTGATTGAGAAGTTAGTGGTAGGGCAGTGTTCGTATAGCTACAGGACACCTGCATACACATTTGTCATAAAGTTTGCCTTTTTAAAGTTAAGTGTTAAAAATCTGTTTTTTCTGACGTGAGGTTGCATCATGACATTTTCTGGGGTGACGTGATGGACTCTGTAGCTCAGTGTGTCACAGTGAAGTAAAGTGGATAATATGACATTTTTGCTTGTCACGTCAGTCTGGTTGAACAAAAGTATGTGTTTTATGTGTCTCTTAGGTGAAGTACGTTTCATTAGTATTGGGTAATATGGCCAAAACGTTACCATTAAAACGGTAAAAACAAAACTGAACAATACATCAATAAATCCACATCATATTTGAATTGCTTTCTAACTCCAGCCCTGCACACTGGTGAAAACGATGCTAAGTGTTGTTTCATGCCTTAAATTTCTACCAGGCTTTTCTATTCCACCTTAAATGGAGCAGCAGTTACATTCTGGCACCTGTACAGGCACCGTAAAGAAACTGCTGCACTATTTAAGGTGGAACAGGAATTTTGAATAAGAACGGCAACTTCAAAATCATTTGTCTCATATGCTTTTAGATTGAGAAAATATTAGTCATTCATGCTTTAGTATCAGTTGGTCGCATGCAAGACCCTGAGACTGCAGTGTCGTCTGATGCAGCTGACCAAGTTAGGCAGTACGACAGGAACCGGCTACTCTTTTTGTTTTTATTTATGTGCCTGAAACATCCCTGACTCAGTCACTCAGCTAAAGAGGATAACGTTTGTTGGTTTACGCTGCTTGCACATTGGGTTTTCTGCATGTTTTCTGGCACACCAAACAAAACTCAGTAGCCAGGTTTACATGCAGCCTGATAATCTGTTAATGATCCGATTAACAGCTCAATCAGAATAGAATACATCCATGTACACACCTCAGTCGAAATAGACTAGTCTGATTGAGGCTATTTGGAATACAATTTCTAACTGATTGAACGAGGTTTGTAATCCTGTAAATAATCCTTTAAATAGAAGAATAATAACCCCGTAAATGCCTGTATCTGATTACATTCCCATTTGGAAAGTTTAGCTATGTTCTGTGCATGTGCGTCACATCATAGCGAGAGTTTATACCGTTCAACATGGAGCAGAAACTGGTCTGCAGAGGAGACGAAGTTCATGCTTTGAGCTTTAAAAGACGGCGGTGGGACGGACGTCCAGCTTATGTGTCTCAGAACACGACGTCTTCCTCTCGGCCTTCTTTAATAAGTACATGTGAAGGATGTTTTCCTGAGTCTGACATCATTTGAAAGTAATTAAAAACGCAAGCACTGCTCACTGCTGCTCATCTCACTCTGACTGGACTCACGTGATACTGTTTGTCATGGTAAAAACTACACTACGTGGTTCTCTACGCGTGCGCATAATTTTGGGAATAAATAAATTTTCATCAGATTGTTGATTAGAGTGAGCATTAACACCTCAGTCTTAATCTATAATCAGAATGTGTTCAATCAGATTGGCAAAAATCTTTGCATGTAAACACAGCCACTGACCCGATATACTGTCCACAAGTGTCATTTTACCTTTTATAAGATGTACGCTGTGTCACATTTACAAAGTTGTTTTAATGTTCTGTCATTTCACCCAAAAACCCAGTCAGACAAAAAATTGATGTCACCTGACGTTGGTGTTGTGTCCACTTGATATCAGACTTGACAAGTGGCCTTTATGACAAGCAGTGCCTGTTGAAATAAGCCTTAATAAATATTTATGATAGATTTATCTCAGCTGTCATGGTGAGCCTGGTTAGATGTCTTGTAGCCTTATTATCACTGCCGTACAGTAAAGTGTTACCAAATTAGTTACAGATTGTTGCTTCATGGATGGAACACTATTGATATTGAGATGAATATTACTTGCTAATACAAGGCGCTGATAATTAAGCCCAAAGGCGTCTATTGAAGTTACCTTGGCCGCTAACAGTGACTGAGTAGTAATGACCACAACTGCAGTTTTTAACAACTTTAAGGGATTTCATTAACACCTCAGAATGGATTTTTGTTATATCTCAGCTATTCAGAAAGTGCATTTGAGGAGATTAGAGGCGCCTGGCCCACGTCAACACTTTTTTATAGAGAGGTATTCACACTTTCTTTTATGAGGCTACAATAAGCCTCAGGGGCCTCGTACTGGGTGCGGCTCTTTCAACGAGCTGTTATGGCAGCAAGCAACAAGAACAGCTGTTAAACCTCGACGGCTTCTTGATCATTTTGATCATAACGGATTATTGATATCTCATATTTGCATATTCCTGGAAAGGAATTAATGAATTAGTTCAGGAGTGAGTTTTTAATATTTCAAACAATGCATTTTAGTGCATTTTAATTTTTAAAATAGTGTATTAAAAAACAGTCTGATTTCTTGTCTGTGACTCAAACTTGCTCACTAGTCGGTAACTCGAGCACTAGTTGCTCAGACTAGAGTTCAGTTTCAAGCACTGTGACTTGACACTCCGCTCTGGTGTCATGACATGACGAGCAGGGATTCCTGACTCATGCTAAACTATGCTAATCTAACGTAACGTCACAGAGCGGTAAACTAATCTGTACTGTAACTAGGGCTCAGTCTCTTATCTAGCTCATCACCAGGAAACTGACATGCACTTAAGCTCTAAATTAACTGCATGCATGAACAGAGTTGTGTTTGTTTCCGGGGAGACACTATGCTGAATACGAACAGCATGAAGCACCAGACCTACCATGGTACACTCTTAAAAAGATTCTTCAAGGGTTCTTTAGTAAAGAAAATGGTTCTATAAAGAACGAAGATCCTTTTGCTTGGTTAAAGAGTTATTTGCATCATAAATATGCTGTAGGTGGTTCTATATAGAACCTTTTTGAAAACACAGTTACACATCTACAGTTTCTTCTATTGTTACGAACTTGACAGCATAACAATGAAAGAACCCTTTTGGGAACCATTTCGAATTCTTTTCAACAAGGTTCTATATAGAAACATCTACAACACATTCTTAAAAACCCTTTCATGATGCATGGAACTGTAGAGTCATGCAAAGGGTTCTTTGAGTGTTCATGGTTCTATGTAGAACCATTTTCTTCACTAAAGAACCGTTGAAGAAGCATCTTTTTTAACAGCGTAGCTTTTCTGTACCTGTGCGTTTGTGTAACTTGAACTCTTTCAGCCAGGAATGCCACCGCTATCACAATAAAAGTCCCTCATAATTCTACTGTTAAATGTAAGGTAACTTGATATATTTGAAATTCTTCCTAAACATCCTGCCTGTTTAAGTAATTGTAATAAAACTTAAATAATAGTAGTAGTAGTGGAAATAATAATAATGCTAATCATTATGGTTGTTATTATTATCATTATTATTAGAAGTACTGTGATGGAAAATATTTGCATTTATTGACTGAAAATTGCTGCGAAAAAATCTGAGTGGTAAAATTTGGGCATCCACTGGGCACTGATGGGGGTCCAGAAAAGCCAGGCTTGCCTAGTCTTGTTCTACACTGTCTGACTGCAGAAGAAAAGTTGGGAACACAACAGCAGAAACAGTCTGACTGTGGCTTCTGAATGTGATGCTGCACTATTAGATAACACTCATCAAGAAGAGAAGCAGCAGAGCTCGCATATCTTAATGCTTTGCTTTTGAGACAGACGATGCACAAAAAGAGTCAGCAAATATTCTCATAAGCAAGTGCGTCATGATTTAGGTGTGAAATCAAATTTTAAGCGTTACTGAGACACCCGTATTGTCTTGCACTCCCTAATGCTTTGAATGAGTCACCTGTTTCAAACAGCCTTTTTCCACAGAGTTCTATAACCGCTCTAGTTCTTTGCTGATAAAACTGAGTAAAAAAGAGGCAGAAGTAGGCCTGGGCCTGATGATGGTGAAGACAGGTTTAAAAATACATTGTTCAATAATTTGATGTATGAGGTACAACATGGATTAGGTTGTTCTGTAAACCTGGTTGTTGAGCTGCACTGGTTGAACATACTTGGTGCTGCAGACAGATATCGCGCCCACAAAAATCCGCCAGTATGGTAGTGTACTGTGGTTTTTGTAAACAAAATGTCTCCTTTGAGATGTGTGTTCAGTAATCTCATTACTGATATATGGAGTTTATATAGCCGGTCACACTATACATGTTCATGGTTGATGTATGCTTTAGAAGATATATACTTAGATCTTCATGGTACATATTTGCTTTAGATGATAGATATGTTACAATTTAGGGATTTTCACTGTTCTTTGGGTGCAAGGAAGGGACAAATCGCCTACTCCTCACATTTGCCTAGGCCTTATCTCATGTTTTTCTCTCCTGAGGCCTAGCTAGCCGACAGGAGTTACTGTGAAACATTGTTTAGTGGCCTTGAGGGTGCAGACAAGAATCCCTCTAGAAGAGACCAGGTGTGTGAGGACTTGCTGACCATGTAAAGTTTCTATCCTTGTCAATAATGATGCATATAGTTAAACATTTTCATGTTTGTATTTATATCGCAATTATTTATAACCAATGAACTGTAACTTCTTTGTTCTCTGTTAACCAATGAAAAGTAACAACACCCTACCTGGGGAATGTATAACCTTTGGTCTGTCTTTGGAGATCTCTGGGTACTTTCCAGTTTCTCCCCAGCCATTTTTTTTTTGCGTTTTTGAAAGTCCTCAAATCACAGCCTCAGGTTTCAGACATCAGACAAAACAGCTTCAGGTCTTGTGAAAAGCACAAGTAAAATAACCTCTCAGTTCTCGTACATCAGGCAAGGCATGCATCGTTTCAAAAAAATGTGGCCATTAAAGAAGGACAAAGTTCAAGCTTTGGCTCATATGCTGTCATTGTGTTTGCTCTTCTGGCTGTTTGAGTTAGGGACTGTCTTAAAATTACCAGGGAAAGTGTTACTATTATTATTATTATTATATACGCACACATTTATGGTGGTCATTTTTCACTTGCATAAGAGCTACCAGCACAGGCCTGCCCAAAAGTAATTTGGGAATGACCTGGCTGAGGTCAGCTAGTGCTTGTATTGACACTTATCTGGACGCACGAGAGCCAGAGAGGCTGTGCATGCATAATAGCTTCTCATTTACAAATATTGAAAGGGATTTTCTCTGAAATCTCCTGAACTGCAGTAAGTCCCCTGGGTGCTTGTGTGTGTGATAAGCTTTAAGATGCGTCCTAATTACTTGGGTAAGTCTAATAGGGGTCTTGAGGTTGTTTACTTTATGTTTAGCAAGAATGCATTCTGACTTCTTCTGTTTGGGCTTATGTTTCAGCTCATTCTGAAGTTTAATGCTGGTTTTGAGGGTGTTTTTTATTTTCTCTACATAATTATCTGAGGCTGTGAAAAGTAGTTCATCAGCATTTTCTGAGTCTGTAATGCTGTGCTTTTTAAATAAACTGCAGTAGGAGCAGTGAGGCTGTAATCCCAAACTCCATGTAAATATATGTGTAAAGAATTTGGAAGAATCCAAAATGTTTGCAAAGAATTTCCAATTGGCTATATAACGATAAAGTATATGTGTTTATTTTCTGGTGTCTTCGAGAAAGTGGGTCACATCCCACAAGGCTTCTCCAGTCATCCTGTCAGACACGAGATTTAGCTGACGCAGAGTTAAAAATGGCCCCTCGTTCATCTCAGCCCTCCACCAGCTCCTAAAAGATGGCAGACATTCGTCTTCCATCTCATTTTTAACCAAAGCTGCACTGTAGATGGTCTCGCTGTCTTTACGCAGTGCTCGACTACAGAGCCTAAAGTGGCAGCCCCCCCAGCCCCACCCCCTTACCCTGAACATAGATCAGCTAAGACATGTTTGGTGTCTGAAGTTTGCTTCTTTAGTTTTGCACTGGAGCTGTAGGTAACAGGTAATGCTAACAGTACTCCTGAGTCAGCATCATACAAACGTGCAGACAAAATTCAGGTGTTGAAATGGTGCCTAAGGCTGTTTTAGCTATGCTAATGTACTTTAGTCCATGTTCATAGGTAACAGTGAGTCATACAGTGTCAGAAACCACCTAATCAAGTTGAGATACTGAACACCTCCACACACTTTAGACAAGTCTGTGATTCAGACATGCAGTTTACAAAGTGCTAACTGGTGTGGGATAAACTTTCGTTCCATTTTGGCTGCATTAGCTTCGTAGCTCCAGGTCCAGACTACATTTGGGGTGAGAGGAATTATATTTTTTGGACAACAATCGCTGATTTTTTTCAAAACAAATGAAACTCCTCTGAAACAGAGAAATAGCTGCATTTTGTGCTGGATTAGCCGCTCATTTTGTTTGCAGTAATTAAATATGCTGTTAGTATACTGCATGTACTGTTGTGCTACTAATATAATTGAGTGCATTTGCATGCACTTAATAATCCGATAACAACCAGCCAATAAACTCACAGAAGAAGACATGACGTAAACGTGATATAAAACTCAGCTCTTTTTTTTTTTTAAACATTGTGCCACCTCAGCTGAAAATACTAGAAGATGAAGAATATTTAAATTTATTTCGTCAAGTCTTGCAGCAATGCTGCTTGCTTATTTTCGGTACAGCAGTCTGTTCCACACGTGCGCAGACTGAGAAATCCGAAAGAAATCAGAGTAAGAGTTTACATGCGCTGAGAAATCTGATTACTGAGCTGAAATCCAGCTCTCTTTCATCAGATTTCTTAATCGGATTTCTAGACCTTTCTCTGATCAAGGAAATCAGAGTGTGCTGTTTGCATTAACCTCTGAACAATCAGACAACTGCAGAAATCCCATTATGATCTGATTATTGAGTGCATGTAAACTTGGAAACTTGTCTCTTGGAAACGGAACAGTTAAAATTTTGAAATGAGCACTGAAAGATTGTGAAGATGGTCCATGGTCGCTCTCCCATTGGTTAGGATTACATAATTAGGAAGTGACAGAGGAATCAACCAGTCATGCTTTGATTTACAATGGCTGGGACCAATTTCTTGGAAAAAAACCTGCGTTCTAGATACGTCACAGACTGAGAGAAGGGTGGCCAATGAGTAATTAAAGCGTTCTTCATATTGATGGAGAATGTGCTGTAGATCTAATATATAGAACCTTTTTGTCACAAGTCTGACATTGTAACAATAGTAGAACCCTTTTTGGTACTATGCAGAACCCTTTGCATATATAATATATAGAATCATATACAACACATTCTCTATCAGTCTGAGGAACCATTGCACAAAGCAAAGAACCTTTTAATCATGGAAAGAGTTTTTTAATGTTCATGGTTCTACATAAAACCATTTTCTTTACTGAAAAACCCTTGGAGAACCATCATTTTAAGAGTGTACATCAGGCATCATGGTTCACCACTGAGGAGTTGTAATGTTTACTGCAGCTACATAATTTTGATGACAAATCTGTTTTATTCCAGAATTCACTGAAACCTCTTTGAAGACGCTGAACACGAAGACTTTATACGTACGAGTTCTGCCCACGACTGCTGAAGCGTAGTGATACCGACGTCTCCCTCTCCAAACAACCCAGCGTCAACCCAGTGTATCTCTTTCTGTCTGCTGTGGAGTTTTTCCTGACTAAAATAGAATTACCTGGCAACGTCTAATAACTGTGTTACAAAGGGCTTTTTCTGTTAGTTCAGGTAGTAAATGAAAAGAAAAGGAAACTGAATGATGTCACTGTCTAATAAATGGATTCAGAGCTAATAAAGATGGCCCGGTGCTTTTCTCTCTGGAGAAATCTGTGGATTTACAAAGGGAAATGCCAAGCCTGCATATTAAATTATCAATTCAAGAACGCTCCATTGTCTTCTCCGCAGCTTATATGCCAGTTAATTATTGATTATGGTAATTCCAATAACTGCTTATCTTTAAGGGAAATGCATTTAGCTGGGCTACAGTTCGGGTGTCAGCAACTTCATGTACACGTTAATGTGATGTGTATGTGTCATGTGTATGCGAGTTACATCATTTTCTCTAATGGCCCTCCTAATTTTATGTTCAGGGAAAGTTGGGCATAAAACGAAACATCTGTGCAACCAATATTTAGTAGTCTAAAAAGAGTGGTCAGTTTGAGTGGTCTGCTGTCTTAACTAACAGGGATAACATAAGACAGTCTTGCGTTATCGCTACAGTGACTTCAGTAAGGTATAACCACTTAGCATCTAATTAAAAGACTTGTGGACAGTTTTCTGGACAAGCAGTGTGTTTTATTGAGGTCTTTAAGTCTGATCATTGAACCAAATGCTATTTTAATTATGACTAATTATTTGCAAATATACAACAACAGATTTAGGTCACCTTCATTTGTTAATCTGGCAAAAAGTTAAGTTAGCTCCACTATATACACAAAAGTATAGGGACACCTACACATTACACCTACAGGAGCTTTTATGACTCCCCTTCTAAATCCATTGGCATTAATATGGAGTTGGTCCCCATTTGCAGCTGTAACAGCTTCCACTCTTCTGGGAAGCTTTCTACAAGATTTTTAAGTGTGTCTGGAATTTTTCATCCAGAAGAGCATCTGTGAGGTCAGGCACTGATGTTGGACGAGAGGGTCTGGCTCACAATCTTCGTTCTAGTTCATCTCAAAGGTGTTTGATGGGGTTGAGGTCAGGGCTCTGTGAGGGCCAGACAAGTTTTACCATGCCTTTATGTACTTTGCTTTGTGCACTGTGGCTCAGTCATGCTGGAACAGAAAAGGGTCTTCCCCAAACTGTTCCCACAAAGTTGGAAGCATACAGTTCTCCAAAATGTCTTGGTCTGCTGAATTAAGATTTCCCTTCACTGGAACTAAGTGGTCTAGGCCAAACCCTGAAAAACAAGCCCATATCATTATCCCTCCTCCACCAAACTTTACAGTCGGCACAGTGCAGTCAGACAGGTAATGTTCTCCTGGCGTTCACCAAACCCAGACTCGTCCATCAGACTGACAGATAGAGAAGCGTGATTCGTCACTCCATAGAATATGTTTCCACTGCTCCAGAGTCCAGTGACGGTGTGCTTTACACCACTCCAGCCGACGCTTGGCATTGTGCTTGGTGATGTAAGGGTTGCATGCAGCTGTTCAGCCATGAAAACCCTGCCATGAAGCTCCCGGTGCAGTTTCTGTGCTGATGTTAAAGTCACAGGAGTTTTGAACTCTGCAGTGTTGACCAGCAGAGCGTTGGTGACTTTTATGCACTATGTGCCTCAGCACTCAGCAACCCACTCTGTAACTTTACATGGGTGAGCTGCTGTAGTTCCTAAATTCTTTCACTTTTCAATAATAGCACTCACAGTGGATCGAGGAAAATCTAGGAGGGAAGAGATTTCACAAAGTGAACTGTTGCAACCACACTTGAATTCACTGAGCTCTTTAGAACAACGCATTCTTTCTCAAATGTGTGTAAAGGCAGACTGCATGGCTAGGTGCTTGATTTTATACACCTGTGGCAATGGGACTGAATGAAACACCTGAATTCAATGATTACGAGGTGTGTCCCAATACTTTTGTCCACATAGTGTGTGTGTATACATTTGTAGTGCAAGTCCAGGTAACATGGTTGTCTTTTCTTTGGTGCTCATTCAAGGTTACAAGTAGGGTATTTAAAAAAAAAAGAAAAAAAAGAAAGATCTGTAAACTGGACCACCTACAACAGCGCCGGTTACAAAAGGTTGGGAACCTCTGATTTAAAGTGTTCCCAAACACAATTTCTTTCTGAGATGTTTATGCTCGTTTAACTTCATGTGGAAAGCAGCGCAGGTTGTTGTGCTTGGAGGCGGCGAGATGGGGACGACTGACATGAATTAATGATGTATTCTAAACTAACACAACATCTTTACGCATAAATTTAGTGTTTACTCACGAACACAAACAGCGTGGTGGAGCAGTAGAGCTGCACTGATGACGAGACAAGAGCGCTTGTAAAATGCTGACACTCTTCTCTGCTCTTGCACAAAGAGAGAGGACCAGAAAAGATGACAGGATTGTCGGTAACGCTTTGACTGGTCTTCGGTAGATCATTAACAAACTCTCAACAGGTTATAAGTAACACATCAACAACATATCAGTGAAGTACCTTTACTTGATTGTTACTTAAGAGTATCTACAGTGGACCATCAACATGGTGTTAACAAAATCAATGAGCACTTTATGTACATTAATTATCTTATACATAACAGGCTGTGATGAAAGGTGAGGTAATTATCAGTACATGCGCATAGGCAGTGCAGACCTCTTTTGGTTTTCTAGTGCTGTAAATGTGTATCAGCCAGGTGTAAGAAGGCTGTTCTTTAAATATCAGAATGGCATAGCAACAGAGTGGCTCAGCAGTTCACCTGTTCTACAGCTGGGAGTGCTGTTACAGAGCCACCAGACGGCCCGGAAATCTTCAGGCTTCCAGCATTCGTTTTGGAACGACACAGGAAGAAAGCGTTCTGTTCCCTCAGTGTACTTTTTCCTTTTTTCACGTATTTAAAGGGGCTGTATCTCGCTTTTTTTTAAAATAAAAGACTCTGATTAACTGGTAAAGTTGCAGAATGTACCGATAAGTACAGCTCATTCGCCCACAGCAGTTTAGCTCCGCCCACTCAGACTGAAGTTATAAGGAGTGTTTCAGCCCAGACCGGTTTTTGAAAAAGGTACAGCCAATCAGAACAGAGCTCATTTACAAATATCAGCCTTAAAGTCACGGTAACAAAAATAGTACCATTGTAAGGCTCCAACCGAATAAGCATTGGCCCTATCAGATTGTGAGTTCGATCCCTGGTGATGCTACAGCCTCCATGGCCGGCAGTTCAGGAGAGCTCAATTGGCCTCACTCTCTCTGGGTGGCTGGGATGGCCTCCCCATCTCCCCCTATCACGCAGCGTGATGCTGGCCAGCGCAGGCGACTGTAAGCTGACATAACAGAACTGGCGATTAGTGTTCTTCTCCGAGTGCGTTCAGCTGTGACGTTGCGTTAGCGGCAGTTCGAAAAGATGTGGTGGTGCCTCACAGGTCTCGCAGGAAACCTGTGCTAGTTTTGACCTCCTAGCGCTGGTGGTATTGTGTGATTAGGGGAGTCCTAACTAGTAGGTGGAACTGGATATGACTAAATTGGGGAGAAAATTGGGAAAAAGTAAAACAAAAGGTTGTAAGTTGATCTCGTAAAAAACAAAAAGTCATTATTGGTACAGGAAACCACAAAAATGTTATAAAACTAAAATGAAAAGTGGGAAAAATGTAGAAAGTGGGCAGTTTAAAACACAGAGTAGTACAAGGCTCTTTCGCAGGTTTGTGTGTAGAACCCGGTCACTCTGTGGGAACATCCTTGAGAAGCGATGACTTGGCCTTTCGCTGCCACTTCTGCCGTGCTCCGCTGAGTGAATATTAAACACACCTTTGGCCATCTGCTCGCTCTCCACACACTCCCTCAGAAGTTGTTGGAGCGGGGCAGAGTGCAGCCAGAGAGCCATCTGCTACATACACACCCACGTACAGTGATACTGTCACATTACTTCACTCATGTAAACTGCTCATTGAGGATACAGTCAGAGACCACTCTGCATTTCCTTAACTTCCACTCAGTCATTAGTACATAGTTCTTCATTTTTCAGGAAATTTGTGATCAGATTAGATTAGATTAGATATTAGATAATCCATCTACACGAGGAAGGAGAAAGTCAGGATGAAAAAGCAAGAGTTTCAACTGGAGTTAAAAAAAGGATTAAAAGCTACAGAGAAAATGTGTCTCCTAACAACCACCTGGAAGACCTGCTAGACACCAGAACTGCTCCATCAGATAAACAGCACTAAAAGCTCTCATCTCTGAGAGAGAGGAGAAAATCAAGCTGCTTCAGATCTGAAAACATCCACAGGTGTTTCTGTCCATCCTTCCACTGTGAGAAGACAACTCAGCACTATGGGTCTGAAAGGATGTGTAGCTGTCAAGAAGAACCTCACTGAGAAAAGGAGACAAACACATCAAACAAAGAAGCTGAACAATGGACTGACCACCCCAGAGTCCAGACCTCAACATCACTGAACATGTTTGGATTGCTTCAGGAAATGATCAACCAACTTCTAAGACTGAACTGTGGAGGTGTGTCTGCAGATTTCTTTGAGAAACTGAAAGTGAGTCTCTTCAAAAGAATGGAAGCTGTAATAAAAGTAAGAGTGACACACTGAACACTCAAACATCTGATATAAGATTAAGTTGTTGAGGCTTCTGTGTGATTTTCTACTAAATATACATTTTCTGCTTTTTTCTGCACACTGAAAAATGAATGTCTTGTGCTAAATGGTCAAAATAAATGGGTGGTCTTCGATTTTGCACAGCACTGTGTCATGATATGTATTTTTTCTTAGATGCAGATGCTGTACACTGGTTGTTTACAAACTCTCTAAATGGACTTTTTCATTATCCATGCAGTTGTTCAGTGTTCTAATCACTCTCAGAAAGCATATGATTATGAAATTTATCATATCAATCACATATCATATTGCCCTGCTATCAATGAATGTATGATAATGTAAGGTTCTGAAATACATTCTTTTTAATAATCGTGTATATGAACTGTGTATGTTATTGAGTGTGTTTACATACACTTAATTATCTGATAACTGCAGAAAATCAGATTTTGTCATTATTCCAATCAACACATTTACATGCTCTTGAGAAATCAGATAATGGGGAAACTCCAGATCTATATGAGTCAGACAGTAATCAGATTTCTGCTTT